CAGCTTGCATACAAGCCTAACGAAAGAGTATATATATCTAGTTTATTCACAATATCGATGTGATATGCGCAATGGTATATAAGACTTGATACGATATCTTGTGAAGCGGCCTACCTTTAATTTAGCAATTTCTGGTCCGATTGTCTGTATTCGGTTCTGTCTTAAGTATAGTTTTTTAAGTGTAGTACAGTTGTAAACAACATCCGGTATCTGTTTCAAGGAAACATTTGATATTGTGCAGAATTTAAGATATTTGTATGTGCTTCAAGTATGTACGACTTCATGCCATATCACAAGTTGTAACACAACGAATGATAACTTTTTTTTGCAGATAGTTAGGAATGCCATATTCAGTTCCAAATGAGCACTCATTGCTTCCTCACGCTTCAGTTTTTATGATAGAAATTTGCGTTAAGTCTAAGCGAATTTGTAAACGCACTAGAACATTTGTGTGAAAATGTACAAACAGTATTAAGTATTATATATATATATATATCGCAAACCAACAGGGCATTCAAAGGCGAGCTCACACACGATCATGTGCGTGAGAACGTATATGATCTGTATTGATAATATAGGTCCGCAGCTGTACATATGTATATAATTGAGTACGACACTTATTTTGTGTGGATTACAGTTCTTCATCGGGTTACAGTTTTTTGTTAACACACATTATAGCGAAAAACGCTTCGTAGCAAATCCATGCATACACTCAACGTTACCTCTGTCAATTTGTTGTGGCGAAGATCAAATACTTCGAGTTTCAGAAACGACATTGCCGGGGGGATTTCCCTGATATTATTCTCACTCAAGATAAGTGTTGTCAAGCATGTCAACTTTTTGAATTCCACTGGCAGGGTGCTCAGCTTGTTTCCATACAGGTACAACTCCTCTACATGACTGCACTCCTTGATCTTGGGAGGTACGTCGGTCAACTCACTGTTACTGAGATCTAACACAGCGTTGTTGGACTTCTTGCATGTTTTCAGCGCCAACTTAATGGCATTTGCTTTCTCCATTTTGAGCTCGCACACATACGCGCCCTTCTTTTCTCTACCGAGCGTATTCCCCCAGTTTCTCATTGCTGGTCCTTTAATGTTGTCGCGTGTGTTAGTAATATGTGTATGTACTAGTATGTTAGTATCAGAGTCAAACCCTAACCGTGTGATATCTGTACAGAATAAATCTCGTACGTTCGGATTACATATTCTATCCTTCGTGACAGGTTGTGAACGTATTCTGGTTGTTGTTCAGACTCATGTCTTGATTTGAACCAGCCATATGTGTGTATTTATTTGCTAATTGTAGTATCTGAAAATAATGAGATTTCCAATACCTGATGTGCTGGATGTGTGTGTATAACTGAGGGTGATTAACGTAGAAAAAGTGAACTAGTATATGGCAGTGGCAGAGAAATTTTCGGGTACAAGAATCGGTAATTGATGAGTGTCAACCTACCACTATAAACCAAATAAATATACCCTCTCGAATTTAAAATGCATAATATGAAGTTGATCGGAGCGATAAGGGTTTAGATCAATATCTCTCTCTGATCCAGTGATCTTATAAATATGTAGTAGCCACGGACCACGAGCCGTCCATAGTTTACTCCATAAAGGGGAACAAGGATTTTTTTTTTGAGTTTTTTTCCCCTCCGGAATCACTGTATCATAGCCTCCGTACAGTTTGAGTAAATGTTTTTCTAAAACATTATTTATACCTAAAAATACTGAATAGTGATGAGTTGAGTCTTGTTCGTAGAACGTTTAAAAAAAAACCCTTCAAAAGTTATTTCTTAGTTAACATTTATGCTATATCGATTATCGAGTGAGCAGTTCGTCTTATTTACGTTAAAAAGGGTATAAAGTACAATTATTTTTGTATTTTACTATTTACTAAATGGGTGCAAAACGGATTGATGTTAGCGCTTTATTTATATCGTATTTTTTGTTTGTTTTAAATTCTGGTATTATATTATTTATGTATCTTCATTCTCCTCTCTTCCTCTCTTGTTGTGTGCATGAAATATTTAAATACCTCGGTTTGATCTTCAGTAGTAGTTTAGAAATTACATGTTTTATATTATCGAATGAGGAGTTATAAACATTTGCCTAATTAGAGTACATATATATTTATGTATTTACAACTTACTAGTTTACTACAGAGTACTGTGGACAATATAGACTACAGACTCAGAGTAGAGACCAGACGAAATGCAACATAGTTTTTTAAAATAGTAAGTCAACAGCAAAAACTTTGATATTTTATGTACTTGTTGTGTCTATCAATTAATATTTTACAGTATTCGTAGTCTCATATCAGGCCCAAGACTCCAGGCCCAGGGTGGCAGGGTCTCATGAAGACCAAAGTCAGGTTGAAACCTAAAAGGCGGGTCATTTACAAATGCTTGCAATTTTTAGTTAAATTTTATGATACGGGTCATGTATTTTACTGCGTTGGTACACGCGCAATCGCGCATATATGCCGGGTATCTCCTTCGTCGCAGACGAGTGTAAGTATCTCGATTCAGATAAATATCAAACAAAACAACTCTTCAGTGCTTTATTCAGAAATTGATATACTAGCCACATATATTCACACATATTTTTTTGTACAATATGTCAGCTATTCCTCAACATGAAGTGGATGACTGGAAACGTCTCACGAGTATGATTGACAATTTACAGAATGATCGCATCTCGGACAAGCACCATGCACAGGAGCGGAAAGTACACGATGTCACGTTAAAGCTCAGCGGTGACGAAGAGACCCTCAAGAAACTCGAGAAAAAAGCTAAGAAGGAAGCAAAAGATGTGAAAAGCATATCGAAGCCCGGGTTTAAGCGTTTCGGGGCACGTATTGGTGGACATCTGGATGAGAAAACTGAAAAGGAGAAGAAAGAGGCTGTTGCTGCACAGAATGCCGTAGAGAAGAAGCAAGAGGAGATACAGCGTGAGAAGAAGGAGCTCGAACAGCTAACGCAGGCACTGCAGCACTTGAGCGTCCAAGCGGGCTCGCTAAAGACAGCAGAGAAGGACCGCAAGAACCTGATTAAGCAGTAAGTTAGCCTTTTGGCTGTTGATTATTCATATCGCGGCGTATAGCTTTCTGACTGCTTTCTGAATGCCCATGTTCCATCGCATAGCTTCTCGATTGAAGTATACATCTCACATCGTATGCAAATAAGCATCAGATTGAGCAGCAAGTTGTCAGTTGGCCTTCTTATTGAATGTATATGTGGCCGGATAAACCGTTTCCGAAGTTTTGCTGTGTATACGTGATTGCGGAGACGTGAATAAGTTGTAGACATGTATGCCGGAGTATCTGTCTTGGAGACTTTGTTTGAGTTTTTGTACAGCTACGCTGTCAACACATATGCAATTACAGGATGCTCATTCGGTTATAAACACGTGCAAAGATACTTTGACGAATCGATAGAGTATGTTGATATCGACATGTATGTAATTTTTTTCACCTAGTGATAGGAAATATCTAGAATATTTTTTAACTATTGCATACACATATGTCTGTACTCAGACAAATATATATTCATTTGTTTGCAATGTGGAGACGGATAACATTTTACAATATTTACGTATGTTTTGCTTTTGCACTGCTCGTTAACACATCATGTCGGATGTTCTTGTTGGTTATTCTTGTTAATTACGCATGTTAAACCATGTGTAAACAACTGGGCAATCAAATATTCATCTACATTAGTGCATAATCGAGGAAATGGTTCGTTCTCGTCTGAAATCTCAAGCGCCAAATTCGATTAGGCGGCTATTTCTAGTAGATGCGAGCGATAATTTTATGTACTGGCATCATAAATTTGGTCACTTTTAATTTTTCGTGTTTGTTTCACCCAATACACACGTACGTGTTGCTTGTATACTGTTGATGTGCATTTAGTGACGAGCAATCATCAATACACGTCTTCATTGTGTTTATGTTCCCGATTTTTCAATACATATTCAAGTGTACAACATACGTACATACTTTTTATACTCATATGCTCGCATACACATATATTCAACCGCCCACGTACCCACCTACAATGCATACATAATTATTCTTTGTAGCAACATATGTGTCTATAGGCAGTTTTGGTAATATTTTTTGTTGATCTTAGTTTGCAAACATACATATGTGCACATGGATACGGGAATGATCACCTCTTTTATGCTATAGATATATGCATTTATGTCTGTTTTTTTTTCGGTGTCCTTCTCATTTTTATAATACATTGTTCTCCGTATGCTACATTGAACAATCCCATATCGTCCACTGTGCTGTACTAAAGATGTATGCATTGCAGTGCTAAAAGTATATACCCTCCACCATATTAAAAATATAATATTCATCATTCACGGGTACGCGCGTAGAATCAGGCTCTAGCTTCTCTGTCTGGGGCTTTGTTGGCTGTCTTGCATCTTAGGCAATAGCAGTGAGTATATCTGCAAGGAATTCAATATAGAAGCCTACCTCTACTAGGTTTTCATCCATAAGGCTACGGCATGTATATAGATTAGTACTATTAGGAATGTAACTATCATTTGACAGGTTGTATTATTCTCATATACGGTATACACATGTTCTATACAGGACTAGGATATGGGCAACTATTGCACACATTGATTGTATATGCACTGATCTGGACGTATATTATGCTGATCTAGATGTCTATAATGGCGCATATCTATCAAGTTTACATCTTGATTTTGGAAAGGATCGTGGGCACTGACTATATACAAACACGCTATATTACTTTTTCACATATTGTACGTCTATCTGTAACCACACCGGAGAGAATCAGCTTCATACGAATTTGGACACATATTTTGTAGTTTGTGTATATTTATGTATGTACGCTTGTGTGTCCATGTATGCATGCATGTGAATTTTTTTTTGGCTTTTATATATTTTGACTATTACACCAAAATGGTCTTTGCGATTCCTTACTGAGTAAACTCTGACTGAAACATGCCGATTCGTACGCCAACACCTATATACCACTTACTCTTGATTCGTATGACAACGTTTACACACCACCTACACTCAACGCCCCTGAGCTCATTGTCACTACTTATAACCGCACGCTCAGGGTATTCGAAGGACCCGTTGGCGACGACATGGAGAACAAACTGGAATACGACGCAACTCGTCTCAAACCAGCCTACAAACAAGCCGAGAGGGAAGCCAAGGATATGCAGAAAGCCGAGGGGCTTATGAACGAGGCAGTCAAGAACAGCGCCCAGTGTGTGCAGTGTATGAGAGCGGCCGAAGCTGCGCAGAGGGTGGATATGGTGTCGAATCTCGGTCGCAGGAATGGTGGTCTCATGGGAGATATGGTTAACATCAGAAAGCAACAAGGTGCGGGTACTATATATA